TATATAAACAGTTTGTCACAGCCCCTCGTTTGTTGTCCTCTTCTCTCTCTCTGCCTACGGTTTACCGGGCAGTTCTGTTTGTGACGATATATATATATATTTTTCTTCTCTCAATTTCACCTCACACTACCTACCTAACACTAGTCCTAATTGTAGGCATATGGGGAACCCCGTAGCAGCCAGAACGTGTCCACGAGAGAACATGTGGGGGCTGCTCCCGACCTGCAGGTGGGTGGAGAGGAGGGAGGTCAGAATGCAGAAAAAGGTGAACTGTATTGAAATGAGCCTCCCGGTGTGCAGGATAATGGACAGGCTGGACTCAGTTGTGGATCTTCTTGGGAGCCAACCTGAAGCACAGTAACCGGAACCAGTCCGTCAAAACCAGAGGAAACAGGGATCACAGATCACAAATTTCTTACCAAGAGGCGTTCCCAGGCCAAGAAAAACCACCAGTAAGATTCCACATGCTCTTTTTTTTTTTGTTTGTTTTTTAACTTCGTATACAGGAAACCTACTTAACGAGGTGATAAGAGCATCCTCGGTAAGTAGGCCCCAGCATTGAAGGCTCCATCTATTGGTGGGGAGCTGCACCTGCTGGAAATCGGGTCCAGCGTCCCTATAGAGAGATGCGTTGATATCACCTACTTCCTATGTATGTTCGTTAACCAATATATGTGAGATGATGGTAAAACCCTATCCATCTGATCTACAGATTCTCAAAAACGAACTAAGGCATCAATCCCAGTCCTATCTATCAGACCAGGGGACAAAACCCTAGCTTTGATATGATGTGTGTGAGCTGGTTATCAGACCAATCAGGTCCAGCGTCTCTAATCAAGGATGTGTTGTGTATCGGCTGAGAATTGGGCCCAGCGTTCCTATTCACTATCCATCTGATCTACAGATTTTCACAAAAACGAACTAAGGCATCAATCCCAATCCTATCAAAGATATATGTGCTCTGAAACAATGAACCAAAACACAAAATTGTAATGACCCGCCAAAAACACAGACTGAGAACACTGCTGATTTCTGGGATTTGCCGCTGGAATGAATGCCTTGCTGAGATTCCCGCATTCTGCTGTGGTTTCCATGTCTGTGTGTGTGTGCGTGCCTGCTGGTTTACATGCCTGTCTGGGTGCTTGTCGGCTGAGTGTGTGTGTGACCCGCAAGGGTACTTGTTGGTTGAAAGGCCCCGCAGGGCCGGTACTTACCTGTGGCCGTGACTTTGAGGGTTACACTAAAGTAGCGGGGGTAGGCCCGTGACACTTAGAGCAGCGGGGAAAAACACTCAAGTAGCAGGTAGGCCGGTACCACTCAAGTAGTGGTAGAAGTGTCGGGTACTAGAGGCCATCCAGAAGAAGACAAAAAGTTGGCATTTTTAGAGGCCCAGTAGTGGTAGGTTAGAGGTAGGACGGTACCAGTCCAAGTAGCCCGGGTCTAGGGCCTGTCCAGACGATAGCAGAGCCTGCAATGATGTTTCCCTCCGAAAGGGAGGAGGTACTGTGACGCCCAACCTCACGCCCAACGCGACTTCCTGTTTTCGGAGTGTTGGTGGGCCTGGAAGTGCGAAAAGGGGGTGTGCCAAGGATTTTAGGAAAGTGGGGATGGAGTTCCAGGTCGGAACTGGAATCTCCTGTGTCAAGTTCTAGGGATAGGCGTGCAAGCATCTCTTTCGGCTAAGAGTTGGGGTGATGGCCGATCTCGCGGCCTGATCCGCGTATGGTGTTCGGGTGGGGCGCCGCGAGCGTCCTCGTGAGAATGCTCGTACCGTTGTCGGCCAGCGCAGGTTCCCGAGGCTAAGGAGAATGAATTGTGCTCCCGTTGTTCTGTTTCAGGACGGGTTCGTTGAGTGATCCCCGCCGGACGATACTCGTCGCGCTGCTGACACTCTAAGCACGGCGGTCGGGGCCAGAACCGGGCTATGGACTCCCAGGGGACAACGGTGGTTAGTGATACGAGAGGACGACGTAATAGGGAGGGAAACTAGTGGTGATGGCCACAAAGCCTGGGGTTAGAAGTTAATGATGGCTTCGGCTATCGAGATAATCGGGATCCGCGAGTCTCGATTAATGGCCAACTGAAAATCGCCTTTACACAGTTGTTCGTTTCCAGTTCGGCAGGGGTACTCAGGATTCCGTGAGTTTCATTGTCGTCTGGCTTGTTGCTGTCTGACTTGTTCCCTTTCCCAATACGCTCGGTATTCCAGATCTCTCAGGCTTTCACGGTCGGTAATCCAAAATGAAGTTTCAATCACCATATCTTATTTAGCAGAATTCGACGCAGGCATCTTCGACCAGTGGGATCGGGTTGGCTCTTGCACGCGGAGGCTGCAGGTCACCTCTGTGGGCGGCTGCTTGACGCATGCGCGCGCATGAGCCGGTCGATCGGATGAAGTCGCGTGATTACAGAAGATAGTTCGTCACATACGTGACGCCCAGGCGGTTCCAATCTTGTGCAAGCTCCCGCTTGCACTCATATCTCTCCAAGGTGCACGTGTCATAACCGTAGGATAAGAGTGTGGAAGCCATCCTGTTGACACGTCCTGATCCTTGCACCCATTTTAGTGTTCCAAGGGGGGGGGGGTAGGGGAGTCGGAATGCGGGGGCGGGGGGTGGGGGATTGACTTACCGTGAGGGCACGGGTGCGCAGCCCGTAGTTCGTTTGTTTATGCGGTTCGGGAAGGGTAAGGTATTGATTATGTTGTATGTATGTTTTGTCATGTTCGCTATACACAACTCGAAGAGTGTGTGTGGGGGGGGTGCCGGTTGGTGCTTTATTCACGATGTTCATGGGACGCTGGACCTAGTTTCCAGCAGGTGGCGCTCTCCATCAATAGACATGAGAATGTATATGCGTGTGTATGTAAGTGTGTGTATGTGTGTGTGTGTGTGTGTGTGTGTGTGTGAG